CTGCTGTAGCTTTCTCACAGCATTGTATCTAGGCTGTAAAGGTTCAAATCCCAGAAGAACAGGTGGAAATGCATGGCACTTTTAATGATCTCACCTTGGAGATCATCACTTACACTGTATGGATGGAGTGTTTTGTTTGAGGCAATTACATACGCCCTTCCAGGTTTAAGGGCAGAGAACATTGATTCCACCTTCTTTGGTGGAGTTTTAGAGGAACATGGGGAACAAGAAATACTGTTTTGGCCATGTTTGGAATACACAATCTGTTGTTTTATTATATCCCAAGAGCTTAGAATGGTGCCTTGGCTTGTAGAGTTTTTGTTTGTTTTAGTTCGAATCAGTTATATATAACAGTAGAAACTCTTTCATTCATTGTCACACAAATGGAGCAGAATTTTTCACTTCTCTGATTGTGCATTAAGTACAGTCATACCATTCGTACAGTCATACATGTACTTAGGGTAATGATGTCAGTCTCATTCCACTGTCTTTCCTACCTCTTTGCCACCTCCACCCCACCACCCTGCCCCATTGTAGAGCTTTGTAAATGCCTGATGAATGAATGAATGAATGAATGAAGTGAGTTTATTAGAAGAGGAGAATAACATATGACTAGTTTGTTAGGATATTGCCTCAGTATTCTAAGTTTGACTTGAGTAGAAATGGAAAGGAAAGACTGATTTGGAGATACCTAGGAAGTACAGATTGCAAAATTTAGTGACCATTTGAATATGGAAATAAAGTAGGGGAATCTGGGTTGAGAAGGGGAGAAGTCTAGAATCTCAATCTAGCAATCTAGAATGACTTACAGTCAGTCAAAGAGACCAGCTCTGTGCTAAAGCAAATATCATAAATAGGAGCAACTGGAGAGGCTGAAGCAGGAGGATCTCAAGTTCAAAGCCAGCCTCTGCAACTTAGTGAGAACTTGTCTCAAAAAATAGGAAGAGCTTGGGATGAGTGCTCTGGGTTCAACCCCCAGTACCACAATAATAAATACATATATACATTGATACATAAAAGTAAATTTTTAAAAATTATGAGCATGAATCCCTTCTTGATAAAATTATTTTTAGTGTTAAATTAATCCCTGAAAGGGCTGAATAAATAGGTGGAAATACTTAGATGATTTCATGAACTGTGTCACTGTTAACAGAGCAAAAGCTTTGCGGGAAAAGATCAGCTCAGTTTTGGAAGCACTGAAATTGAGGTTTTTGGTGCTAAGCCAGCCAAGTGAGATCCTTGAACTCAAGGCTAGAGAGCGTGCTCTTTTTTTTTTTTTTTTTTTTTTTTTTTTTAAAGAGAGAGTGAGAGAGGAGAGAGAGAGAGAGAGAATTTTTTTAATATTTATTTTGTTGTTCTATTTATATTCATTTTGAAATGTAATTAAAATGACCTTTTTTCCTCCACCAAAAGTGACTTGGCTTTTTTCTTTTTTCTTTTTCTTTTTCTTTTTTTTTTTTTTTTTGGTACTGGGCAGTGAGCCTAAGGGTGTATCCCCAACCTTTTTATATTTTTTGTTTTGAGACAGAGTCTCACTAAGTTGCTTAGGGCCAAGCTGAATTGCTAAGGCTGGCCTTGAATTTCCAATCCTCCTGTCACAGCCTCCCTGATTGCTGGGATTACAGGCATGACCTACTACACCCTGCTCTTTTTTCTTTTTTAATGTTACACAGTAGCTTTGGAAATCCTAGTCTCTTATAGAATTGGTAAGGTCTTAGTCACATAGATCCCTTTGTACTCTTCCTAATGTATGAGGAGCATGATTTCATATGTTGGTGTGTAGTACCTTAGTACCATTAAAACCTAAATCTTAGCTATCACTGAGCATATTAGGAAAGGTCCTTGAAGGTCTTTGGATAAAAGAACACATTGATGGCAGAGAAACTCTTGAGACCTTTCTTTTCTTCTTTTTTGTTAAGCAATTTTTTTAAATAATTATTTTTTAGTTGTAGTTGGACAGCATACCTTTATTTTATTTACTTTTATGCTGAGGATTGAACCCAAGGCCTCGCACGTTCTAGGTGAGTGCTCTACTGCTGAGCCACAGCCACAGCCAGAGACCTTTTCTATTTAGCAAAAATCACATGAACTGAGCCATTCTGGCTTCTGAACACTTCAGATAATCATTGGGATATTATTACTTAACATTTTATTCTTAACAGAAAGAGAATTTCCCAGTGWATCTTGTTACTTACATTTCTTACCAGTTTTTCAGCGTTAGAATAACTTAATAGACCATGAAGCAAGATGTAATGTTTCACTAACCCCCTTCCCCATCTTGTTATTCATATCTTTAATTTAAAGAACTTTGAGTCAGGCATGATTACTCAAATCTCAGTGACTTGGGAGACTGAGGCAAGAGGATTGCAAATTTGAGACCAATCTCAGCAACTTAATGAAACCCTGTCTCAATAAAAAGTAAAAAGTGCTGGGAATGTAGCTCAGTGGTAGAGTACCACTGGGTTCAATGTGGAGTACCAAAAAAAGAGAGAGAGAGAGAGAGAGAGAAACTTTGTTGATTCTTACATACTATTTTTTTCTTCCAAAGAGGGGAAGAGGAAGAAAGCAGTATTCCATATAAGTTGATTGATACCCTGTATAACCTAAACTGAACTGCTCATGCTTTTGACTCCTTATAAAATTTTGGAAAGAGAATATTAACAATGAAAATTAGTTAATAGAAATGGAAGAAAAGGTCTACCTTTAGCTCTGAGCAGACAACTACTTCTTTGAGTTATGTAGCAGAAAAGTTTCAGTATGAATCATCTTAGAACAGCTCTGTAGTGTTGTCACTATAAATATTTTAATGGTAAGTGACTTTCTTTTGTTCCTGAAGGCAAAGTATTGTTCTCTTGGATGTTTCTTTAGCACAGAATGCATTAATTAGAAATAGGGGCAGATTGGCCTTATATTGTATGATAAAATACAACATGAGTACTAATATTAATATAGAAATATATTGAATAAATGATTCTCGTAGAAGGTAGATATCTAATAATAATAATGTGTTCTTATTGTAATAGAAAAAAGTCTATATTTGATATATGAGAAAACTTTTGCTCAGAAATTATGATTGGATATAGGCTATTAGATTAGCATATTTATTCAAAATTAGAATCTTGTTTTCTAGGCTGTGCTTATTATTTGAAAATCACTTCAATATTCTTTAAATAATAAAAATGACACTTGTAATCCCAGCTATTTGGGAGGTCCAGGTAAGAGTATCACCCAAGTTCAAAGCCAGCCTGGGCAACTTAGAAGACCCTAAAAATTGTCCCAAAATAAAATGGGTTAGGGTTGTAGCTCATAGGTAAAATGCCCCTGTGTTCAATCCCCAGTACCAATAAAATATGAAAATTTTTAAATAATAAATATAATTTACAAGTATTGTTGAACATATAGTACTAAACCTAAAAAATATGCATACTTTCATTATATCAGGTATAATAATGACTTTTTTTTTGAGAGAGAGAGACAGAGAAATAAAATGAATCTTTTTTTTTTTTTTTTTTTTTATAGATGGACACAACACAATGTGTTTATTTTTATGTGGTGCTGAGAATGGAACCCGGGTCCCACCCATGCTAAGTGAGCGCTGTACCGCTGAGCCACAATCCCAGCCCACAATAATGACTTTTTAAAAGTTTTCTTGTTTCATATTTTATTAGAAAAGGAATAATTTGATTAACATGGGCTGGAGCAAAGACTTCTTTATTCTACAGTATCAGAGAACTCCAGATCCTGGATTCATTGCTAAAGTTATTTTTGCAAGTAAATAATCTGTTGTATTCTACTCTTGATGCCAAGATGTATAGTTGCCTAACACTGCTGCCATATATTAAAGGCATGCCTATCACACCTGACTTTGGAATATAATTTTTCAAATATACTTGTTTTTCTTGAGAATTTTTAAATAAACAAAAAGTTGAGAAAATAGTTAGTTTCTTAGTTTTTACCTGATATCCCTTTTCTCTTGGAAGATCCCATCCAATATGCCACATTATATTGTCTTTGACAGTTTTGATGAGTACATATCAGGTATATTGTAAGTTATTTCTTTTAGAATTTGATGTTTTAGTTATGATTAGATTGGGGTTATAGGATTATATTATTATTTTTTTTAAAATTTTTTTTCCATTTTCTTTTTTTTTTTTAAGAGAGAGAGTGAGAAAGGAGAGAGAGAGAGAGAGAGAGAGAATTTTAATATTTATTTTTTAGTTCTCGGCGGACACAACATCTTTGTTGGTATGTGGTGCTGAGGATCGAACCCGGGCCGCACGCATGCCAGGCGAGCGCGCTACCGCTTGAGCCACATCCCCAGCCCAGGATTATATTATTTTAAAGCTATGTTTAACCTTAAGAGAATTGACAAACTGTCTTCCAAAGTGGCTGTACCGTTTTGCATTCCCACTAACAATAAGAGAGTTTGTCATTTCACAACCTTGTCAGCATTTGGTATTGTCAGTTTTTTGGACCTCAGCCATTCTAGGTATGCAGTGGTTGGAATACAATTTTAAAATTGACCATTTTGTCTTACTATTATTATATCTCACTATAGAAGCATTAGCTTTCTTCTCTTGAAATTAGTCTGTTTTTTTTTAACCTTTATTTTATATGTTTTTATTTTTATGTGGTGCCAGGAATCAAACCCAGTACCTCACACATGCTAGGCAAGCATTCTACCACTGAGCCACAATCCCTGCCCTTGAAATTAGTCTTTGGAGAGGATGTGTGTGGTTTTTCCCCATACAAATAATTGTTACTGGTATTTAAATGTCCTTTCACTATTAGGTTAAAATTGCCTATTCTCTTTTGCTTTCTTATCACTAATAGCTTATAAGCTACATTCTACTGGTGTTAAGCTGTACTTTTTTGATGTTAATGTCTTGTTTAATTGTTTTTGTTTAATTTTTTATTCTCATTTTCCATTCTTCAAAGTCAGTTTTGCTTTTTTGTTTTTCTTTGTTCATAAAGCTTTTTGTTTCTGTTACATTATGTAGTTTTGTACCAATGGCTAGAAGCAGATCGTCATAGCAAGAGCCAAGAAGCTACAAATCCGACTTCAGGTAAAAATAATAGTTAAAAAAAAGGGTGGGTTGCTAGAAATCTTTATTGTAATTCACCCCAAGCCCATTATAAGCATTTCCTTATTTAGTTTCGTTTGGAGAGATCATCTAAAGATATTATTTTGTATTCTGTTCTCTTGTCTGCATCTTAATTTTCATAAAGACCTCATTTGCTTCAGGCCTTGAAAAAATGTATTCAGTAGTCTTTAAGCTGTCTTGGCATATATTTCCTACTTTCTTAGGAGAGAAGGCTTAATTGCATCTTAAATTTAGTTGATTATTTAGTAATACTACTCAATCCATATATAGTTATGGCAAGGATATTATTAATATGTAAGCTCATTTTTTGGAGTGTTTTTGGCAAGTCAATCGCCAAGATTGAACCCAGGCCCCCTCAAGAATATTACTATTGCTACAAATTTATAATTCTTGTTTGTTTAAGTATAATTTTTAAAAGATAAACTTTAGCTTAAGTGAAGGATATTTATATGTAATTCCATTTCCTGGGAATCCAGATTTTCAGACCTAGTCATTTTTTCTGTTTAGTCCTAGCAGTGAATTCGAAGTTAGTTTTATAAAACATACATTCAAAATGTGAAGAGTAGGTTGTTCTTCCTAGATATTCTTCTCTGGCTGGTACTGCATCCACTCATATCTGAATCCCTAACAGTGATATTAGAATTTCAGAAAAGTTTATTCTTTCCCTCATTTCCTTCAAAATAATATTTGCCAAGACCGCTGTATATTTAAGAATGATCTTTCCTATTGCTCTCTCTTTAATGGTGTTAAGAGGTGGTGATGGTGGTAGAGGTGGTGATGGTGGTAGAGATAGTGGTGGTGGCAGTGGTTTTGTTTTCTTATAATTGAGTTACTGTTTTGTGTATTTTATGTTTTTATAATTTTGGAGGTAATCTCTTGTTGCTTCGATGATCCTCAAGAAGTTGTAGCATTAGGTAATAGAACAATTATATTGAGAATGCACTTTTATGATTTTTCTGATATATCTCTGTCCCATTATTAACTTGATATATGAATAAAGATAACATCACTATTTTTATCAAAAACAGGCAGGAAATCATTAAAAGGTAAGTGTTGCAAGGACTTATATCCTGGATTATGTGCTCTTTCTACCACTGTTATAGTGTTTCATATTTTACTAAAATTTATGGATGATAAAAACAAGCATTTCTGGACTATGACGGTGGGCATAGGAAAGGGTTTCTTATGACTCTATGTTATCTCAAAATATGCTTGTTGCTGCATCAGTAGCAAAGTCAGCAGCATAGTTTTTTTAGAATCAGAAGGGAATTTTTGTTTTATTTTGCTTTTTCTTAGACCTAAAGTAAAGTAAATTTTGTGTTCACATTAAAATTTTATATCAGCTTAAGGACATCATTTACCCTGTTCTGAACTTTGACTTTGGTTCTGAACTTTTAGCTACATTGACTGATGGATAGTTTCCCATGTCTCCATTGACTTTTTGGTATTTATAAAACCTTGCATCATGGTGCAAAAATTGATGAACTCTTCTTAGGGGTTTCTGTTCTTTAACAGTTTCTCTTCTGGAGGTGAAAGCTTTCTACTCTTAGAAACTGAAGTRTGGAATGGAAAGATGTAGCGATGTAGTACTTGCCTAAATCAGAGAAATCCAAAGGAAAATGATCATTAACCAAATACTTCAATTAGAAACAGTACTTTAGGGCTGTCGTTTGGCTCAGAGGAAGAGCACTCGCCTAATATGCGTGAGGCACTGGGTTCGATCCTCAGCACCACATAAAAATAAAATGAAGATATTGTATCCACCTAAAACTAAAGTAAATAAATAAATATTTTTTAAAAAGAAACAGTACTTTAATTGCCTCTGTAAATACATTTAAATTATGTGCCCTTATTCATAAAAGCTCCTATGTATTTCATATTGCAGTCTCCAACAAGATTTTATAGTGTGACTTTTCCCTCCTTCTGTGATCTGTTAAGTTTTGCACTCAAAGGTGTTTTAATACCTATTCATATTTTTACCCAAAATGGAAATTGAGTCACAAGATGTCAGAGTATGACTTGTAATTCAGAGTGCCTAGTGATATTTTTAATTATGCAAATACTGGTAAATGGCATTTATATTTTGCTATAACAGCTAGTATTTTGCACTTAATTAGAATTTTGAAAGTAGAAAAACACAGGAGACAGGAAGAAATTGCTTCAAGTTTCTAATTCCTTGATCTCAACTTTTTGACATTGGAAATTTAAGATCCATTCATCTTAAAACATTTTATGAAACTAAGGCATTTGGGAATAACAGATCTTATGGGAATTAATTTAGTCATGGAGATAAAGAACTGATATGACAGCTGTTATTGAATTTTTTACATAAAATATAGTCTAATCTTTGCAGAATTTTATCAGGTGATGAATTTAACTTAGAATAGTTCATTTTTTAAAAAAGGTTAGTGTATTTAATGTGTTCTGTCCACTAAATTAGATAACTCAATAATAATGTTTCTTTCTTTTTTTTTTTTTTTTTTCTTTAAACCCCCTATGGTAGTTGGGGAATCAGAACTTCACAGTTGCTAGATTACTTCCATCAGTATTGAACCAGGAGTGGAAGTCAAAGTCACCATTGCAGATGCCTAAGTCAACTGTTTTAATAAATTGATTTTCAGTTGTTAAAAAAAAAAAAAAAAGAACTTCACAGTTGCTAAGCAAGCATGGTACCATTGCTCTGCATCTCCAGCCCCTTTTAGCAGTGATGTTTCTAATTTTGTTAATTATATTACCTAAGAGTCTATATATAAAATCACATATATTAGAGAGGGGTTTTTTTGGGTTTTTTGTTTGTTTGTTTTAGAAATTCAAACAAAATTACCTCCTATGTGCACTGTAATATTGGGTCTATCTGTGTATGAATATATAGATATAGATCATAAGAAATATGATTAGCTTAAATCAGAATGTTTTTTTAGTAAATTAAATGTTTCCATATAAGAGATTTATATTATCATATATTGAAATGAATGCAATAATTATATTATAGCAGAGATTATTTTTACACTTGATTTTTAGTATTAATTGTAAAACTACTGTTTTTAAAATTCAGATTCTGACATTTCTGTGTTTCTGGTTTTTTGATGCTGGGAATTGAACCCAAGAGCACTTAACCATTGCCCCTTTTTATATTTTATTAGAGACAGGATCTTGCTGAGTTGCTTAAGGCCTTGCTAAGTTGCTGAGGCTGGCTTTGAACTCGAAATCCTGATGCCTCACAGATTCTAAAGTTTTAAATTCAGTTCTCTTATTAACTATTTGCCAGTTATCCACTGGGAATTTTACAACTCAGACTATTGGAAGTAGAACTCGAATCACATTTCAACATTATAAGTAAATACTCTACAAAATAAATATAAAACTATAATGTGATTTGGAAAAGGTTCTAGATATTAACCAATTATTAATTATTTGTTTTAGGTGAAAATTTTGACCAGAGTCCTTTGAGAAGAACATTCAAATCCAAAGTTCTGGCCCACTACCCTCAGAATATAGAATGGAATCCCTTTGATCAAGATGCAGTGAATATGGTATGTTCCCCCCACCTTCATTCTCTCTTCAGCCTTCCTTTTATTTTACTAAATGGCAATAATGGCTATATTTTGAATGTCTACGTTATTTCATTTAATTATCGTTCATACTTTATAGATTTGGAAACTGAAGTACAGAGAAGTTACTTGGCCAGGATTCTCACATCTAACAAGTTTATACAACAGACCCCCAAAGCCCATTTTTAAGCTATGTTGTAGGTTTGTACTAATACAGAGATGCTTTGATAAACAGTGAAATTACTCTGTTTGCCTGATAGAAGAAACATGGTTTCAGTTTTTATGTTTTAAGAAATGTTGTGTGAAGGGCCTATCATTTGTCATTTTCACAGACAACATGAAGATGGAAAGGAACTTAAATACTTCATTTAGACATGAGTATGAATTTGTTATAAAGAATGGTAATCAATATAAGTTAACCAGAGGTGATTAAAAGTTTCCTTTAGAGATTCTTAAAAATAAAGTAGGTCATAGTTTTCTGATCACTTTAGGAAGAGTCCTTCTTAGAAGCCTGAATACTATTTTGAACCTCTATCAACTCTGTGATTACATAATTCAAGAGGCCCCAAACTGAGCAAATGAGACATCAGTCTTGTTAGACACAGAAATGATTAATGATGAACTGAGACGCTATGATAGGTATAGTTTTTTTTTTGAGAACTTAAAAAGAGAACTGGAAGACATAAAAAATCCCATTATGATCTGATACTTTTGGAAAAGAAAATTAATATTCAGTAGATGCCTACTAGGTACTTCAACGTGTGTTATTTTCACATACATGTTTACATGTACCCAGTGAACCCTTGTTCACATTTTATGGAGATTAAGTAACTTGCCCAGAGTCATGCAGTGAATATTTGAGGCCAGCCCCAGAACATTTTTACTTTCTAGCTTACTTTTTTCCCCACTCCCCTGCTGCTTTCTCTAGAGAAAAACTATGTTTTGGTTTGCATCAGAAATGGTATGGGGTATATTTAACCCTTGGTAATATCGCAGTAAAAACTTTGCAGTCTGAGCTTGCTCCAGGAAAGGGAAAGGGAAAGCATGGTGCTTTTTGTAAGAACTGATGCCTAAAGCACTTAGCACTTCAATTTTGATTCTTTACAGAGCAAAATGTATTTCCCCAAACTTATCCAATACTAAAATAACCAGAGTTGACATTTTGTTGGAATGAATACTGTGAATGCTTAGTTTTATCTTTGGTGAAAAGAGTATATAGATAGTGGGTAGAGCACAATCATTAGTTATCTTTGGGAGACTTAGAGGAACCTAACCAAGACTCTGACTAAATAGATAACAGACAGCAGTGGCAAAAATAATTTATCAGCTGCCTACACCAGGAAATTAATAGAGGTATTAAGGAAAAGAGTGTCCAACTGAAGCAATAGAAAAATATATAAGAATGTGAATACAGGTTAGAACTTAATCTTCTTAATTTAATAAGATATTTCAAAGTATAAATTATTTTGTGAGAAATCAGAATAATGTCCAAAAGTAGGCTCTTCCTACAGTATTAATCTGTAGTCATTTGAACAAAAAGCCACAGTTGGTGTATTTTCTCTTAGTCACTTAAATGAACGAATAGATGTCCATGATAGCTTTTGTTTTTGTCTGAAAAGCATTCATCTTTAAAGCAATTATCAAATTCTTTGATTGTCTTTGGTATTTTTTTAACCTCTTGTTTCTGAGGTTGTTTTATAAAAGGAACAAACATTTTCATCTAAAAAAATAAATGAAAAGACTGAGTTTTGATGGTTAAATATCACATGGCATTTTTTTTTTAACTACAAATCTAAAAGGATTTGCTTGTACTCCTGGAAAATCTTCAAAAGCATCCCATTAAACCAGTTTGTGTTTGAGTCATAGATTTATTGCCCTTAATTTTRTCTTTGATTTATTAGTAAGTGCATTTGTATTAAGCTATAATTTATTCTTGCCTAAAGTTATAAAGCTTTATCTTGCCTTTAGCAAAATCCCACTCCAAGTTATTGCCTTCTGTATATTAGTCATTCCTCTTTTAAGTAACAGTGGTGATTTTCATAGAGGTCATTAATTTCACAAATAAATTAATAATACAAAGCAATGAACTTGGTTATATAAAAAATTCCATATGTTTGAGTAAAGTGAAAATATAATACAAAATAAATATGTGACAGGTGAAATTGTTTCTAAATTAATTGCTTTTTATGTCTTGGTTGCCAGTTCAGAGATTTTTATGAAAAAATTATTTGAAGTATCGTAAAACAGAACAGTATAACCAACGTTCATATACTCAATACATAGTACTAACACATATCAACATTGACATGTTCACTTTAGCTTTACTTGTTGTTTTAAATGGAACTAAGCATTGCAGAACAGAGCCAAAATTCTTCCACTGTCTCCCACCAGTCCCATTTTCAGCTCTCTTTGAGGTAACCTGAATATTGGCATCTATAACTATTCATATAATGTTCTAGTAGATAGATCTTATTCTTAATAAGAATGCATGGTACCTAGGAATTTTTATGAAGAAGAAATGATCACTATCTTTTTAAGCAAGTTATATGAAATATAAATATTCCATTTTATATATCTGTCCTAAACAAAATAAACTGACAAATGATGTTTTAATTAAAAATGTAATAACTATTATAAAGTTTTTTGCAATCTTTAAAGCTGTAAGTTTGTAGTTTACTTTGAACACAAAGAAGGATAGAATAGAATGATGAGCAAAGAGTGAAAGGTAAAATGTTGGCAGAAGACAACTATTCAGATGTCCATCTTGCAACATTCAGAGGAAAAGGGGAGATACTTGTTACATACTTTTTATATACCAAGCAAGTATTTAAATTTGAAATGGATAACCGAAAATGGCACTCATAGGTTTGATATCATAATGAAAGTAAGGCTTTATTTTGACTCATTTAAGTTTATGCCTTACTGTAGAATCATAGGATTGGGACTAATTCAGCCGTTGCTCATGGGTCCCACCTGTTTTCTTTAACCTTTTAGCTAGAATATTTCACTGGCATCTCAAGCTTAGCATGTCTAAAATTGAATTCACAGTCCTTCCCATTAATCTTGGACAGTGAATGGTACAGCCATCCACCTAGTTGCCTAAGCCAAAATCTGAAGGTTGTCCTTGAAAATTATTTTTCTCCCTCTCCCCTATATAATTAATTATTTATCTGCTTCCTCTGTTTCTACACACCCACCTTAGCCCAAACCACCAAGATGGCTTACCTGGACTCCTACAGTCAAACTGGTCTTCTGCTCCTATCCATCCCATTTTTTTTTTTTTAAAGATAAGAAGTACTTATGCTTTTTTTTTTAAGAGAGAGAGAACTTTTTAATATTTATTTTTCAGTTTTCAGTGGACACAACATCTTTATTTTTATTTGGTGCTGAGGATCGAACCCAGGGCCCCACGCATGCCAGGCGAGCACGTTACCGCTTGAGCCAAATCCCCAGCCCCATCCCATTCTTCACACTATCACTCTTATTTATGCTGATGTTTTTCTTCTTCTACTTCTCCTTTACCTAGTGAATTCTAATTGATCTTTAAGATTTCATTTTAAACATGTACTTAGAAAAGCCATTCCTTTCCACTGCCCTCTTAACTTTCTAACAGGTCTCTTAGTACATTGCACCTTTTTGTAGCACCTGTCCCAGTTACAATTAAATAATTAATTATGTAACTAATTATGTAGATACCTCTATATTTCCTGCAATAATGTAAGTACCACTAGGACAGACACAGTTTCTCTTATTCCTTGCTAGGTCCCTAGCTTTGCACAAATAATTGAATGCTCAAATCATTTATTAAATGAAGAAATGCTTGCTTGTTTATAATACTTCTGTTTCTTATTCTTGTCTGTTCAGGTGCAAAATCATCTCTTAAGCAATAGTAGTTAGGTGCTTTTTCTTCTCCCTGTAACATCTTGAACACACTCCACTGTAGCACTGATCATAATAAGGTTTTGTAATTGTTGGTTTGTATGTCTGTTTTTCCTACTAGAATATGAGCTCTCTGAAGGAAGGGATTATTTTTATGGTTTCTTTAATTAGTTGCCAAAGTTGGTGTAATGCATAGAATAAAATAAATGTTTATTAAAAGAGGGAAAGAGAGAAGAGACAAAAAGAAAGGAGGGGGAGGGATAAAGGAAGGCAAACTGACCAGCTCTTCTGAATAATTTTTTTTAATTTGAATAATGAGGGAGAGGCCATGGAGCCTGAGAACTATAGAATATGTAAAAGTGAATTGTAAAACTCTGGCCAACAATAAAAGAGAGGGGGGGAAAAAAAGGAAAATGGAAAAAGAATAAATAAATAATTAATTTTAAAAATTCTAGCCAAACTGCCTAAAAGGGTCCAGAGAGATGAAGATATTTGTTCACTCTAACTGGGACAGGTTCAGACAGCATTGTTATCATATTTTGGCTAAAGTAATTTAGTTAAATGTGGCAATCTGGTCATAATATTACAACTCTAATTTTTAGTTATTGTGGAAAGGTGAGATGAGATATTATTAGTAATAGCAATATTAAGGGATGACAATAGATTATTAAAATACAATGGTAGGTTCTGGTACATACCTGAAATCCCAGCTGTTTGAGAGACTAAGGCAAGAGGATTGCAAGTTTGAGGACAGCCATAGGAACTGAGAAAGCAGCTGGGCATGGTGGCATATGCCTGTAATCCCTGTGACTTGGATGGCTGAGATAGGAGAATTGCAAGTTCAAGCCCGGTCTCAGTAGCTTAGCAAGGCCTAAGCAACTTAATGAGACCCTGTCTCAAAATATAAAATGAAAAGGACAAGGGATGTAGCTCAGTGGTAAAGCACCCCTTGGTTCAATCCCCAGTACTCCAAAATAATAAAAATGAGAAAGCAATAATATTTTTGAATTCATGGTTTCCATATTAGAAATATACCTTATTTTTCTTATTTGTAGGAAGAGCATTTAAGAAAAAAATTACATCTATTATTTGCAGCATAGAAA